GCTCTTAAGACTTAATTCCCCCTTAGATTTCACCTAAAACTTATAAATTTGATTTTTTTATTTGGCTTATTGACAGGGCAAAGCTTCAAATATTGATGATTTCACCCAGAAGTTTCTAATTTAAAAGTACTCTTCACTTACTGATCGTAAAATATGAAGCAGAAATTTTCATTTTCTGACACTAAATTATTTCTTTAGTATGCATCCATTCCTCGATTTAGTAGGTTAGTATGACAACTTATCTATAACCTTCGTCTCAATTTGGTGTTCCTATTCCCAAACTTTGTTTAATTTATTTTATCATGAGTATACTAGAGCATATCCGATACATTAGAGAAACTATTGCGCTATGCAGTTATGGTGTTTATGCATTACTTCTTCCAATCCACGTCAGCATACTACATCCCTCTTTTACATTTCATTGGTATTCAATGCAAGCAATATCCGGCAATAGAGCAAACTTGTTCTGGCTGGCACGGACTCTCCATTTGTTATTTAGACTACGGGTTTGGTTTTTTTTTTAACGCGAGACGTTTCTTAACATACTTCTGCCCCTTCGAACAGCGTACTCCTGCCCCTTTCGACAGGTCATTGCATAGAAATAATGAAATACATGTATGAACGGCATGAATTACATGCCATGGTGTGGGGGTTATGGCGGTCGGTTCGATAACATGTCATGCATGAAAGTGATATATAGCGTGATACGAGTGCATAAGTTGTAGGTGGTAACATGAAACTCATGGCATACATGTTATGTGTGGCATGATTCACGAGCCACAGTCGTGGTGAACTCGCAGAGTGGAATGAAGCAAGGGGAGTGCGTGGCGCACTTAATGAATGGTCATCATCATCATGATCCTGACTGCGTCGACTGCAGGACAAAGGCCTCTCCCATGTTCCGCCAGTTAACCCGGTCCTGTGCTTGCTGCTGCCAATTTATACCCGCAAACTTCTTAATCTCGTCTGCCCACCTAACCTTCTGTCTCCTCCTAACCCGCTTCCCTTCTCTGGGAATCCAGTTAGTTACCCTTAATGACCAGCGGTTATCCTGTCTACGCGCTACATGCCCGGCCCATGTCCATTTCCTCTTTATTTCAACTATGATATCCTTAACCCCCGTTTGTCCCCTAATCCACTCTGCTCTCTTCTTGTCTCTTAAGGTTACACCTACCATTTTTCTTTTCATTGCTCGCTGCGTCTTCCTCCATTTAAGTTGAACCCTCTTTGTAAGTCTCCAGGTTTCTGCTCCGTAGCTAAGTACCGGCAAGATACAGCTGTTATATACCTTCCTCTTGAGGGATAGTGGCAATCTACCTGTCATAATTTAAGAGTGCTTGCCGAATGTACTCCACCCCATTCTTATTCTTCTAGTTACTTCAATCTCGTGGTTAGGCTCTGCGGTTATTATGAATGGTAAAATCGTTCAAATAGTGACGTGTGCGTCATATATGGCATCATTTACATGTCTCACTGACGGTGTTATCATGGGCGATCCGCTGACTTGATATGTGTGGAATTTGATATCACTGAGCATGTGAACGTATGCGGAACGCAAACGGTCGGAAGTGGCGACAGAGTCACCCGCACACATTCATGCCCAAAAGAGAAAATTACACCCTCTACTGCTAAAGGGAACAATGTGTAGATATGCGAAGCAGCAGGCGCTGACGCTTACACTGGCGGCGGCGTTGACGCCGTCGCTCATCGTCGCGTTGCGCGGAAGAGAAACCTGGGAACGCGCAAAAGCACGCAAAACACGAATGAGAGCAATGCATAGAGGAGAACTAGGGGGGAGGGGGTGAGCGTAGGTTAGCAGATGCTCCCTGCGTCGGCGTTGCGAGGCGAGAGAGGGGAACGTAAAAGAGGAGATGCGAGGGAGTGGACTCGCATGCGCAGTAAATGTGGTCACGCCGCACACCACATTGAGCTCGACCCTAATCTGCTTCGCATAAAAAAAACTCAGTCTGTATATATTAACCTTTTAAACCGTGTCAGTCAGCATATTACATTTTTTATTGTGATAGCAATTATGTGGACACTCTCGGCTGGATTTTGTCGCCGGCGTCAATGTCACTCAGCGTATATGTATACGTATGTATATCTATGAAAACGCAAGAAAAATAATCCAGAGAAATACTCCGGCCCACGAAATCGAACTTGGGACCTCTGAAACGTGAGTGCGAGACGTTAACCACTGAGCCACAGAGAGGCACGACCTTCCTCGTTCAAGCGGCAAGCTATTTATATCTACCACATACCGCTGTTGACGAGCATCTCGGGGGGAACAATCGTGTTTTCAGTATTAACAGCAAGATGGCGCAATGAGCACGCGTCGTCACGATGCGGCAGCGCGCGCTCTCGTCTCCTACACGCACTTTGTCCTGTGGAGGGAGAACTACCTACAGGGGCGCATCAGCCAACCCGCTCTCAACGTCATCATAAGCGTTACAGACACTGGCGAGCATTGCATTACACATCCACTCAGAATTTGGCATCGGATTATATGGACTCCGGGCCACATGGGGCTGGAGGGGAATCAGGCAGCGGATAGGGTAGCTCGAGGGTATGCGAGCCGAGCACCTTCCAACTCCGCCCCTGAGGAACTCGTTCTGGTCCCTTGCGACTATTCGGCCATCCTAAACCACTACAGAGGACTTAGGAAAGCTTATTCGCTACCACACCGAACACTAAATAAAGAGGAATCGGTCAGCTGGAGGCAAATTTAAACCGGCACGTTTCCCAATTTGCACATCCTGAGTAAAATGCACCCCTCGGCATACTCTCCTCTCTGCCCATGGTGTTCAGCTAAAGCCACTCTGTACCACGTCACGTGGGAGTGTCAGGCCATTACAACCTTACAATCAGTACAAAATCCAACAGCGGAGCGATGCGAGGAGCTGCTGGCCAGCGAGAACCTGGAAGATCAGTTGAGTCTGATCAACCGGGCCCGCAGAGCGGCTGCTGCAAGCAGAGCCCTAGACTAAGCCCCCCCCCCCCCCCCACCGCAAGCCAAGCATCTCCGACTTGTCGGAGCTTCTCCGCAGAAAATTTCATGTAAATAAATAAATAAATAAATAAATAAATAAATACGTTTTCACCACCACCTGGGGAGAGAGAAGAGGGGGTGGACGCTCGCTCACGCGCCTTTATCTCGCGGTGGAGAAGATCGCACGTCTTGGCTGGCCTTGGGATTTCACTGGAACGATTCTGTTGTAGTTACGAGGCACACAAAGGCCACCGCAATCGTTTCACAGTTTCCGTTTGCGAAAAGGGCGCGCTTTTCAGACACGGCGAAGTAACAACTCAAAACGCTTCTTCGCGTTCATCTGTACTTGTGAGTACGTTTCGTGCGTCATTTGTGCGTGAGAAACGCGAGACACGTTTCGATCTGCTTGCCATTTTGAGCGTGACCTTCTAATTTGCTCCTATTGCGTTCATTGCTTCGTCTTATATTGAAAAGCGATCGGTTATATCTTACAGATATAACAAAGTGAGGTCTTGTTATTTTTATGTTATCAGCCGAACAATTTTTGCTTGATATTTTCACTCTGTAATCAACATAATTTCTAAGCCACGCAAGCTCCACATTATGTAGCGGTTTTCTTTGCGCTACAGATTAACAGTTCAACCTACTTATCATGTGTCACCGAAGCATTCTGGGGAAAGAACACTAGCATGTCAACTTTCTTGCCCTTAAGCCCACTATTCTTGCTCCACAATTTACCACTTCTCGAGGAGCGTAGTTTTGTGCTGCAATGAGTTTGAGCAGTTGAATTTATACCATTGGTAATACCATCAAACTTACTCTCAATAGCGCTATCGATAGTGTTCCCTACCATCAATAGTTCGATAGTCCTTGAACTACCGTTACTATGGATAGTGCTGTTCATAGTTCTGTATTACTAATATTCACACAGAGGTCGGATAGCTTGCTGCATTTGTCTAGTTGGGTGGTGTGTATGCGGAGTTGAGCATTACATTTTGTGCAAAAATCCTCGTTAATGAGTAAACCCTCCATTGCCCTTTAGCATGTGTGCTAGTGTAGCTTCGAATAGTTTGATTTTTCTGTCTGCTTTTATTTTAATGTAAAAGTAATAAACTAGAGGTTTAAATAAATTTCATCCACCTTATTAGCAGCTACTTAGCTCTGTGAAAAACTAACGACGACATCATACGCCAAGTAGAGTGTAGTTTTTCTAATACATATTTTCTATATTTCAGTACTGTTTTCCAGATTTTGCAGCAATACTGCTTGTATTGCTGCCTGCTTTTATATAAATACTGCCTGCGCTCTTACGATTATGTCCCAAGATTTAACTGCAGGAACCACCGTCTGGCAGCACGTTTAAACCTACTGGAACCACCTGTAGGAACCTGCAGGAACTACCATGTTCGACGACAGACTTTGTGGGTGGTATAGCGGTTGCGCTAACGGTTAGCTGGGGCCGTAGATAAAATAAGAGACAAGCATACGAAAGAATGTGTTCTTCTGAAGCTAGAATAGAGCAGTTGCAGATGTTTCTGTGAATTTTGAAGTTCTTTTACTCTAAACATTCGCGAGTGCAAAGAAACATCTTTTCTGCAGCGTGAAAGAACCGAGAATCGAAAAGGACAAGGCGCTACTTGCTGCAAAGCTTTTTTTTTTTGCGTCAGAGAACACGTTATGCATGTGAAGTTTTTTTCTTCACGCGAAGTACATTACAGGTCTTATACATACGACTATATGTACTAATTGAAATTTTAAACACAATAACGTCATACGTAATGAGCACATAATACATAGAAAATAGATACACATGAAACACAAAATACTTATATAATATGTACCAACCTAGGTCTATTATTTGACGACTTCAGGGAAAGTCTGCAATTGGTTTGGTGATGACATGTTCCAAGATTGGACAATGAATTCACGCTGAACTCAATATTTCAATCCCGCCGTACCCAAGAATGAATAAACTGGTTCAACATCAAGGATGGTGTGTCCACTTACTGTGTCGCTTATACATCCATATTTCAATGACAGCACACGTGTTGTTTTCGTTCATGTACTTCAATTTCTCGACGCCGTGGAAATTGCGAGAACGAGCTGCGAGACAGAAAATGCCCGAAAATTTAGACTGGTTAAATGAGAAGCCTTCTTATAGTACAATGATATAAAGGCCGACTAATACGCGTTTCAGAAGACCGCACGAAGCAACAAAAACAGTAGTCAGAGTGGTACGAAACGCGTTCTTAAGTACTCGACTACTTGTTACAAAATAAATTTGTTCTAGTTTTGCCGAATTAACAAATACTTTTTGGAATTGTAACGTTCTGAGTAATTTAAGTTTATTTCCCTGTAATTGTCACTGGTTATCAATTAGGTATATTTTTTTTTACCTAAATCAGTCATTCGCAACATCAAAAAGCAGTCATTCGCAACATCATAAACAACATAATCATAAACAACATCATGAACAAGAAGAAGAACGACGACGATTGTGTAAGTTAACGACGTGTAAAACTACATCACAGAATTACTGAAAACCAGCAAATAATGAGGCTGAGAAAGGTATAAAAGATGTTAATTCTACTGTTTAATGTTCATTGCAGTAATTGTGCCGAGAATAGGAAGAAGACAAAGTGGACGAAAAGACAACTCGCAGCTGGCTGGGCAAATTGTTTTTTTTTTCATCCACTTTATGTTCCTCACGTTTATAGCACAATTAGAATACACTCAAAATGGTAAAACAGACGTTATTAAGACGTTTGGTTCAGGCCGTTAGGTTCAGGTTTGATGAGGGGCGGCTCTGCATCGTTATCATACTAAGTTCCTTAGTGAATGGATCTCGCCCCGCCACGGTGGTCTAGTGGCTAAGGTACTCGGCTGCTGACCCTGAGGTCGCGGAATCGAATCCCGGCTGCGGCGGCTGCATTTTCGGTGGAGGCGGAAATGCTGTAGGCTCGTGTTCTCAGATTTGGATGCACGTTAAAAAAAACATCAGGAGGTGGAAATTTCCGGAACCCTCCACTACGGCGTCTCTCATAATCATATGGTTGTTTTGGGGCGTTAAACCCCACATATCAATCACCGAATGGAGATTTTTAACTGGTGCCTTCCGCGCATGCCGCACCGGAAACACTCCTATGGCGCCAGACCGAAGCATTTCTGGTGGCTCGTGGCCTACGAAACCAGCATCCATGGTCATTTCGGAGGCCACGGATGCGAATCAACGCACAAGCTCGCATGTTGCCCTGTCGACCGGAAAGCCACAAAATTTGCTTTTGGCTCTTGTCACTGAAGGCGCTGTACCTATCTTGAAAATGTCCATTTGCTGGAGAAAGCTGGGTTAAGCTAGGCTCGTTTTAGCTGGTGTCACCATGACTGATTCATTACCATTTTCTTTTCCTTCCGTCAACTAGGATCGTCAGCCGTAATCGGTGGTATATTCTCAACGCCTCGCATGCTTATGCAACTCCCGCATGCAACTCCCGTGCACCGGTTCAGTCGGCGGCTGATAGGCCTCGCTCCAAAGTTCACGCCTTCCACGGAACCTCGCAAGTGCCGATTACCTCTCCAAATGGCCAACGCCAGTCCGCAACTGGCGTCGCAAAGCCCCCCGCCAACACAACCTTCACAGGTAACCATCTTTCAACCGCTGGTTCCCGATCACTTTAGTGGCGGCGCTCATGAAGACGTGGACGACTGGCTTGAGCACTATGATCGTGTCGCCAAGATTAATCTGTGGCCTGAACAAGAAAAACTCTCACGCGCCTATTTCTACCTTGACGGCGGTGCGAAAATTTTGTATGAGAACAGAGAAGACAGTCTGTTAACTTGGGGCGACTTCTGACAACAGCTTGTCGATACGTTCACTAATGTCGATTGACGCGACCGTGCGCAGCAGCTGTTGGAGCTACGGGTTCAAAAACCCAATGAAAGCGTTACTATGTTTGCTGAAGATATGACTCGTCTTTTTCGTCGAGCTGACCCGAACATGAGTGGAGATAGGAAGTTGAGCTACCTCATGCGCGGCGCTAAGGAGCAACTTTTCGCCGGACTACTGCGCCACCCTCCAAGTACCGTAGTTGACTTCATCAAGGAGGCTACGGCTATCGAGCGGGCCCTCCACCAACGATGCAGGCAGTATCATCGAATGTCTAGCAGCGCCCCAATCAATGCTGCCGCCATACCTGATGATCAAAGCTCCCTGCGAGACCTCATTAGGGAGATAGTTCGCGAAGAACTGCAAAAGTTCCGGAATCCAGTTGCTCAAACCCCCGTTGCGTCCGTCACTGAACTCGTACGCGACGAAATCCGCCACGCATTTTCTACCGCTGTTCCTGGTGACGAGCACCGTCCCATGAGCTATGCCGATGCTCTGCGACGTCCACCATCTGGTACATCGCCGCCATATCACCCAGCGCCGACGGCCCCTTGGTCACCGCCGCAAGAGCAGACCCTGAGCTGACCGCCAAGCCAACTGACGTACCACCAGGCGTCCACAGCAGCACCATGGACATCGTCGCAAGAAGGGAGGTTCAGACGTCCACCGCTCCGAAGAACAGACGCATGGCGCACAATCGATCGAAGTCCACTGTGCTTTAACTGCGGAGGTGCAGGTCATATTGCCCGTCGTTGCTGGCAACGCAGTGATTCGTTCCGCCCCCTTCGAACATGGTCTGACGATCGACGTGCGAACGAAGAACGCATACCACGCCGGGAGGATGCCTCTTTCCATGGAGCCCGTTCCCACTTTTACGAATACCGTACTTCTGACGAGGAGGCAATACCTACCCGCCAGCCAGGTTTGGGACGTCAATCCCGCTCTCCTTCTCCCGCTCATTCACCTTCGTCACACCGACGTACCTCCGCGGACCTTAACGCAAGAAGGTCACCCAGCCCGCGCCGGGGAAACTGAGGGCGGCGACCTCCGGGGGTAAGGTTGCAGGCCATGAAGATGATGACGAAAAGCCCCCATTACACGACGCTGTAAATCCGACAAGACGTGAGAGCGACGACATTGTGACCACCGACCTGAGTGTTTTTCTTGACGGCCAGAAAGTAACAGTTTTAGTCGACACCGGTGCCGACTTTTCTATTATAAGTCAGGACCTCGCCATCCGCCTCAAGAAAGTGAAGACGCCGTGGACAGGCCCTCAAATAAGGACGGCGGGTGGTCAGTTATTGATGCCCTCTGGAAGATGCACAGCGAGAATTGACATAGGAGGTTCTTCTTTCGTTGCGTCGTTCGTCGTTCTCGCCGCATGCTGCAAGGATTTAATTATTGGTATGGACTTCTTACGAGAGTACGGCGCCGTCATCAATATCCCAGATAGTTTGATCACATTCCGCAACAGTTCGGGCGCACCTGATTGTACACAGGCGCAACCAAACGAATTGCGTCAAACTGATGACGATGTGGTTCTCCCTCCTCGGTCATGCATGCTTGTTTCTGTGGCAGCCGCTTTCCAGTTTGACGGTGAAGGAGTAGCAGACCGAATAACCTTGCTCCTCCTCATACACGGCATTTCCGTCGCAAGTGGTATCGTCAGTATCGCCGCTGGACGCACGGACTTGCTTCTGACAAATTTTAGTGATGAGCGCTGGCACCTTCCAAAATGCATGGCCGTCGCTTGCTTCGACGATATCACAGACGCGGAAGGCTGCTTGGCAGTAGTCGACGAGGCGCCAAAACTTGATTCAACACCAGTTCTCGACGTTAGCACTACTTTGCCTAAGAACGAGCGAAAGAGGCTTTTTGAGCTACTGGCCGAATTCAAAGACTGCTTTTCGACAACATCAAGAGTTGGCCGCACACCTCTAACCAAGCATCGGATAATTACCGAGGACATGGCGAGACCAATTCACCAAAACCCCTATCGCGTGGCTGCAAAGGAACGCGAAGTGATACAAGCGCAAGTCGACAAAATGCTAGAAGATGACGTCATTCAGCCCTCAAAAAGCCCCTGGGCATCACCTGTAGTCCTCGTTAAAAAAAGACGGCAGCCTGCGCTTCTGTGTAGATTACCGAAAACTCAATCAGGTGACAAAGAGAGATGTGTATCCACTTCCTCGTATAGATGACTCTCTCGACAGACTTCGACATGCTCGTTACTTTTTATCGATGGACTTAAGGAGTGGGTAGAGGCAAATCGAGGTGGACCCAAGAGACCGCGAGAAGACTGCTTTTGTGACACCAGAAGTTTCCCCTCTTCATTTATTTCAGATTGGCTTGAGCCCGTTATACCTCCTAGTGGTACGGGCTACCCCCCTTTTTCCTTTTAGCTATTTTCACATATAGGGGGCGGAAAAAACACACACACACACCAGATGGCTTATATGAATTTAAAGTCTTGCCCTTTGGTTTATGTTCAGCGCCTGCTACCTTTCAAAGACTTATGGATACCGTACTTTCTGGGTTGAAGTGAAAAACCTGTTTGGTCTACCTTGATGATGTCGTAGTTTTCGCCGCAGCATTTGACCAGCACCTTAAAAGACTTGAGGCAGTTTTACAAGCCATACGGTCTGCGGGTTTGACGTTGAAGCCTGAAAAGTGCCACTTTTGCTATGAAGAGCTGCAATTTCTTGGCCACGTTGTCAGTCACGCAGGCGTTTGTCCTGATCCTGAAAAAATCGCAGCTGTTGCACAGTTCCTGGTGCCGACTGATAAGAAGGCTGTCCGACGATTCCTCGGATTATGTGCGTATTATAGGCGATTCATCGCAGACTTCGCACGCATCGCATTACCGTTAACCCGCCTCACGAGAGAAGACGTTGCCTTCTAATGGAGCAACGAAGAGGAAGCTGCTTTTAAGAACCTCCGCCAGCGACTGCAGACGCCTACAGTGCTTGCCCACTTTGATCAGAAAGCCTCAACGATGCTACACACTGATGCCAGCAATATTGGTTTGGGAGCTGTGCTTGTGCAGCTGCAAGAGGGCACAGAAAGAGTAATCGCCTATGCAAGCCGAACACTAACACGCGCCGAGATTAATTACGCCACGACAGAGAAGGAATGCCTCGCCGTGGTATGGGCGGTCACAAAATTTCGCCCGTATTTATACGGCCGCGCTTTCAATGTCATTAGCGACCACCATTCACTG